AGATGAGACGTGAGGAGCTGTTGATAAATCCATGTTAGTGAGGCTACTTAGGCTATTATTAATCACTCGATCAAAAATGTAGTAGGCTATTTTATTCATGATGTGTGAAACTCAGTGCACCGCAGAGTATTTCATTCGTTTCTGTTTTTGCCGCTGGTTGCAAAACCACACTCGAACCACATTCTTTTTCAGGTCCAGTTTCTCAGCGATCGCTGCAATTTTTTCCGAGGAGGGCCGAGGTTGGATGGCAAAGTAAGCCTCCAAAGAGCGCTTCTCCGGCGCCGCGATGGAGGTGCGCTTTCTTTTCCTCTCGTTCCCATTGAAAAGGTCCGGCTTGTTGCTTTTCTCCCGGTACGCAGCCTCTGCTTCCTCCAACCAAGCTTGGAGAACTGGCTTGAGCGCGATCATGTTGTTGTGTGACAAAGTGAGGGACTCGAACCTGCAGATGGTGCTCTGGCTCAGTGACCCAACTCCGGGGATCTTCAGGTTGGCCAGCGCCGACCCCACGTCCGCCTGGGTCACTCCGAGTTTGATCCTCCTCTGCTTGAACCGCTCGGCGAAGGCTTCCAGCTCCCGGGGATCCGACTCCACGTCGTTGATGCACGCCATGCCTCCGTGCACTGAGAGGGAGTGGGGGTGCGCCATGTTGGCCATCGCCTGGTGCAGCTGCCCCATGGTCTGCAGGTGGTGGTGGGGGTGCTGGTGGTGGTGCGCCGACGCGGTCATACCGGAAGGCTCCGGAGCACCCATCCCGGTCACGGCCAGGCTGGAGGAGAGATGGTCCAGGAGGTCCCCGGCCTCCAGGCTCTGTCCTAGGTGGTGGTGATGGAGGTGGTGGTGGGAGGCGATGGTGGAGGGGACGTGGGAGATGGGCCCGGTGGTGGAGGAAGAAGAGGAGGCTGAGGTGCAGGGGACACTGCTCATGGTATGGTAAGTCACGTCTGGTTTGAACGGGTGACTCTTGCCGTGAGAGACAATGCTGTCAGCAGCCGCCAGAGCCTCTGCCCGTGCCAGCAGGCTCTCATCAAAGCCTCCGAATATATTGCCCTGCAGCTGCAAGCAAGAGTGCGCATACTGGAGTCAGTGGGGAATTGTGTCAGGCAGCTCTCAGAATCTCAAAAACATTTTTCCAAAGGCAAGCAGCAAGCGCCGAGGAGAGGGGAGAACTCTCCTCAAAGCACAGGTCATAAAAATTAATATGAAAGCAAGAGCAGTGCTTGAAAAGACATGTGGATGAGAGAGGGGGGGGAGGAGGTTGTTTTTTTTTGAGAGAGGGGGGGGGGGGGGGGGGGGGGGGGGAGACAGAGGGGTGTGAGAGAGAGAGAGAGAGAGAGATAGAAGACAGAACAAAGTCCTGTCAAATCAACTTTTACAAACATTTCCACTGTGATATTTTCCCCTCCTCTCACCCATTACTCTCCACATTCTCCCCCGACCTGAACGTACCTGCGGGGCGGGCAGACAGACTCTGCGCATGCCCTCCGAGCCTGAGTGCAGGCCGGGATACTTGGGCTCGTGCAGGGCCGGGTGCATGGAGAAATGCTGCTTTCCGTTCATGGTCATCATCCTCCTCCCTGCAAGCACCTCTTGAGCAGTGTGGCCCCTGACATGAACGCCGGGTGATTGGACGGCTGCAGAGCTCCTCTTGCTCTCCTTCACTAGACTGAGCTGTTAACATCGACAGCGCCTCCCGGCATCCCTCGCTCCCCCCTTGCTCCCCCTCCTCTTCTTTCAGCCTCCCTCCTCCTCCTCCTTCCCTCCCACCTGCTCAACTTACAAGTTGAACAATGTTGGCCTCTGTGCGCAAGCGTCAAGTACAAATAATCATAAATAATATTGCTATTAAACGTTGTTTATTGATGAGATCGTTGTTGTGAATTTATATTATATTTTAGAAAGTTTTACTGGTATTAAAATTGAAGTTTAAACCATGGAGTTATCCACTCGAATTGTTTCAGCACCATGGACAGCACCGCTGAGGTTAGTGCAGGTTGCTCCAGCGCTGTCCCTGCTACTCACTGTCAGTGGTGTAATGTAACTGAATAGATTTACTCAAGTACTGTACTTAAGTATAATGTTGACAGACTTGTACTTTACTTGAGTATTTCAATGTTTTTTTCTACTTTGTACCCCACTACAGTTCAGAGGTAAATGGTGTGCACGTATATAATATATTAAGTTGCTTTGCAGATTTGGATTAATAATGTGAAATATAAAAAACACTAAAATATTTACACCTGGAGTAACATTCACAAGCAACCCTGCAGTAATTACAAAGTAATTAAAATGAGTTAAACACATTAATACATCAATAATTATAATCAAAACACATACATATGATTAGAAAATTGACCAATCTGCATTATGAGTACTTTTAATTTTGGTACTTTAAGTACATTTTGTTGCTAATACTTTTGTACTTTTACTTCAGTATCATTTTGAATGCTGGACTTTTATTTGTAACAGAGACTCTGGTACTTCTACTTTTGCTTAAGTACAAGATCTGAGTACTTCGCCGAACTCTGCTTACTGTGTATAGATGTAATAATATGTTAAAAGGATGGATAAAGGTTAGATTTTGTACTACATACTTCAAGTTTAGTCTAAGACCTGCTTCTGACCAGTTGACCCGAGGGCCTTGGCCTGCTCTCCTCACGCTCAACCTCGGGGCTTCTTCAGCCTTCTCACGTGGCTTCAAACCCAGGAAGCCGGGGTGCACGGGCCGAAAGAGGAGCCAGGCGTGCGGAGGCGGACCGATGACACTGTGGGTCCATCCGATCCTGCCGGCCGGCTCTCTGGTTCCCCAGACTCTGAATAATTTAGCTGCATGGTGGCAGGCATCCATTACCACGCTGGCATGTTCTTATTCATTACACAGATTAAAACAGCCGAGGGCTTTTTCTCACGATGCAAACCTGTTGCAGGCTGAGGAGCCAAAAGTTTAGATCCGTAGGGAAGAGAAAGATACCTTTTTTTGGATTAGTGCTGTGTGCAGATACCCTGAAGATTTTCAACAAGAGGATTGAACATATTCATTGATACAATTTATTAATATTTAGTAGATTAGAATATGCAATAGAATAGTGGGCAAACATAAAAAAAGTCACATGCATAAAACATGTAAGAGAGTGTCCCATGCATCACATTGAATTGATAAGACGTTAGCCTGAAAAAAGCCTGGAATCCCTTTTCTCACCCTCGCATCACCCTTAGCCTTGTTATAAAGCCGGGACCATTCATAATTTAGTGTCCAGTGTTTACAGCGCTGTCATCTCTGTGCCTTTTCACATTCTGAAGATTGCATCTATCATGTTTTATGAAGAGTGTTGTGATGTTTAGGCCAAATGTGACAGTGGCTCTTTTCTTCTCACCCCCCATCAAGCCTGAATACACGCCACCAGATGCCTAACTGTGCCAGCATGCATTTTCTTTTCCCCCACTATGGTGAGAAGTTTCAGTACAAACTAGCTGGCCACCATTCAAAAACGTTGTGTTCCTTAATTAGTTATAATTACAAATGTCTGCCCAAATTTAAACAACATTAAAAACATTTTGCATCAATATATTGCAAACCCTAACTTTATTTGTTCGATTACATGAGAGATACTGAGTATGCTAATGTAATACAACTAAAGAGTTTCTAAGTATCTCATAACTTGACTTACTAAGGCATTAAAGGCCTGACATAGGTGCTGTTTTGTAAAATGTTTTGTAATCTTGTCATGTTATATTTAAAAAAAAAGTTTAATATAATGATTCTATAATGATGTTAGAAAAAAAATTAAATAAAGAAATAAAAAAAAAAAACCTGATTAAAGAAATTGACTTCTTTAGTGACACATTTCACCGGTGCTGGTTCCTTCACCCAGCATGTGAGCAGGCCGCGGAGGGATCTGACCGGAGCAGAGCGTCACTCAGGCCCCAGTTTGGAATCCCTCCCCCCGGGGAGAGCGGAAAGCAACTGCAAACTGAACAGACCCTGAGTGTTTCTCCTTTACGTCCTAAAGTGAAAAAACGCTCTTTCATTATTCAGGGATCTTTTAATATGTAGTGGCTTGCTGCGGTAATTAAACTTAAGTGTCATAGAGGTCGGACGCTGTACTGTGACGTGTGGGATTTGTTTGGGGGCGTGATGTGGTCAAAGAGCGTCTGCTTAATTGGAAATAACGGGCTGCAGTGCAGGATTGCATGTAATTATGGTGATTTAAATCACCATAATCTGAATTTTGCTTCTTGATAATCAGTCCCACCAACAGACTAAACATTCTGAAGAAAGAGTTTAGATTTGGAATCCGGGTCAGACCGCTGTGGCAAGTCCCATTGTCCGTGCTCAGATAAAACAAAAGTGTGTGCCAATATTTTTCTTAAGAAAAATGAAACGAAAGCTATTGAACTATATTAACAGTTCAGTTATCCATACGCAATGTGTCTCGTGTGCAAAACATAATAAATCATGATTAAACCTACTGCAGGAGTTTTAAATAATCTGGTGGATTAGGACAGTGTGGGTTTGCATTGACGAATGAACATCTTCCTGAGTTTTCTGTTGTTGCACCTGATAGGGCGGGACTAATGACACCTTTATTCTCCTATTGGTAGATGAAGATTTGTGACCTCATACATTCCCATTAAAGCTCTGGCCCACCTTCAGCCTAGGCAGAAGCCTTGTCAGTCAAAATAGAAGAACACACCTATGTGGGTGTCATTTTAAAATAAATTAAAAACAGGCTAATTGTATCTGAGGTCATGGTATAACCACAATAATGTATTCCAAGATCGCCTATTCTAGAAAATTAGAAAAAGATTATTTGTTCTATATCCAAGGACACTTTCTCACTGAGTGGTTTATACCTATTGTGTCATGTGTAATTCCTAACGTCTGCAAATAATTATATTAACACAAACATATAAGATGACGTAACAATGAAGGAGTCCACACAAGAGTTTAAGATAATATTTTCTGGAATGCTTTTGCTTGCACTTTTTTCCCCTTGCCAATCTTTTTTTGCTCCATTGTTTTTTTTTTTTTTTTAAATCTCCAACTTTTTTTTTTTTTTTTCCTATGTCCAATTCAAATTGTATTTTTTCTTTTTTTGTATCATCTTCCAAGCACCCCATTCCTCCATCTTTATTGGCAAAAGCAAACATGCTAGTAAATTAGAAATAATTTTTTTACAAACAAAATACATGAAGAAAATACATCCACATCCTGCAAATATAAACAGTAACAAATCCAAAACTATTATCCAATACACATTTTACATTTTTTACACACCATTGTGATAGTAGCATACAGAAGATATTACAAAAAGTGGGACAGAGACTTTTGTCTGAATCCTCGCTCCACTAGTGTAGGTTTGTCGTATTCAACTGCCAGTGACTTCAATAAAAACAAATCACAAGCAAATCATATTAAGTGCCAAAGAGAGAAGCTTTAGCTTTCCATCGCACACCTGAACCTAGTTTTGGGCGGATCAAATGGTTTTAATGGGACACCGAGGTCACTGGCAGGAGATTTTTGGGTTGTCAGTCAACGGAGAGATATGCAAATCAAACAAAAAGCGCTACCAACATTGTAGGTGGGAGGAAATCCTAATGGGTTTCCAACAGTTCTGAACCGCTGTAGCGCAAGTTAATGATAGGAAACAAAGGAGAAATGAGAAATTCTGTTACCGACTGTATTCCAATGCAGGCAGAAATCAGCATGTGTATTTACATTCAGATCTCTATACACATGCATATCTCCACCTGCATGTCTGTGTAAAGCACACTGCTTCAGTTAACACATAATTTACTTTGTTTTGGTGCTCCCCTCTGACTGCTTGTCAGTTGGATATGATCAGTTTATGAGAGTTATGATACGCATACACATCAAACAATACTTCATTAGGCTGCATGTAAACATAGGTGTCTGTCTCAGGGAAGCACCAAAAGTAAAAACTTTCTCAAGTATAAATCTAAAAAAAAGTTGGGTCTAGCATTGAGCATATTTCCAAATCAACTAAGATGAATTTGATTCCTCCCACCCTGAGGATTTTTAAAATACAGTGTTTGCAAAAAAGGCCAAACACGAAATAAAAACATTGTCATGAAAGGTGCACATTGTGGTTGCACGTAGGGTTCTGTCTGACACTATTCAGAGGCAGGAGAAGCTGCACTGATGATGAAATTATATGGAGACTCCCACTGCCTTTCAGCTGAGCCTTCTTCACAGCTCAGAAAGGGGTTTTAAAATGAAATGTGCTCCTCATGTGACCAATTTAGTGAAATACCAACGTGCACTGGTTTCTTTAAAAATAAAAATGATTGAGAATAAACAGGGATGCTAAGCACTCTTGCTCTACCTTTTCTACCTGACTGAACCTTGCCATTTGTTTAAAATGACAGAAAAAGAAACAACAAAAAGTACAACTAATTTGTCGTTCAAACATTTACAAAATTTACAAAAGTAAATCACACATCTTGTAAAATGTCAGCCATCTGCTGATTGTGTAAGGCAAAGAAATTATATATATATATAGATATATATATTAAAATCCACTGTTCAGTTTTACATTCAAACACCGGTCTTCAGATCCCACATTTTTTAAATGTGCGATCTGATCCTCTTCCTGCCATGCTCTTTAGATGACCAGGAGTCAGAATAAAACAAGTGAAAGATGTTACACACTCTGAGAAAATGTAGAACACCCGTGTGGGTGTTTATATTTACAAAGAGTGGCACCGGACATTTAGTGAACACAAGCAGGGAAAATTTGAATATTTACTACCAGACTGTATCTGACGTGCATGGCACGGCAATTTGTAAACATAGTCTAGACTTTTCTATTGCACTGGTATCCTTCTGTACCTGCACTGGCTCAAATATGGTTATGGTACAGTGTCTGCACCTTTGGGTGCTGGGCAAGAGTGGCTCTGTTTATTTTGAGTACAACATGCGCAAACTAGCATGTATTCAGGCCAGCAGTGAGTCACTGCCTAAAAGATTGGGTTCCTTTAACATTTTGGGCATTCCCATCCCAAAACAAACTGAGCAAATGGAAAACCATACCATACTGTGCCAATCTGGGTACGGCACAGTGCATTTATGCAGTGGAAAAATAAATAAATATCTCTCTGGTAGCAACAGAGAACGTTCTATCTGTGAAGGAATGGCTGTCCCTGAATCGAGGACAAGATCTTTCAAAAAACTGGTGAGAAAAGAGCTTAAATACAGTATGTATAAAAATACCTATTCACAGTAGACACAAATGTTGTGCATTACTGATATTAATCATCTGGTATGCACACTGAAACTTACATAGGTTTTCCTATCTATGAGAACAACTTAACATTTATCTTTCTCAACAAAAGTGAGATGTTTTAAATAATTGTTCAGTCGAGGGATACAAAAGCTATCGGCCCTCTAAACTTCCTCCGATGTAAAGTTAAGTAAAGTGGTTTTTACTTTGATTAGAGTCTAAAAATTACTTGGTTTCAAAATACTGGAAAGGAAAAAAAAATGGAGTTCCGTTGAATTGATTTCAACGATTGGGATGAATCGCACGCCTTCATCGTCTCCAGGATCGACTCTCGTACTCGTCATCTTCATCGTCATCCTCCTCCTCCTCTTCCTCCTCACCAGGCAAATAAGAGTTAACTTTTTTCTGTTTGAAAGTAGAAAAAAATACATCTCCAGTTAAGCTTTGAACACTTAAACAGATAAGATGAAGTTCTTTACATTCTTCTTTAGTTCAGTTTAGTAGTTCTTTAGTCACATATTTGCTTCACACAGTGAGGGGATGTTAGTCAAACTAAAGTAGGACTCATCTAGGTCTTGTTTCTGTCAATGCTACATCGGTTAAGTTTCAACATTTTAAAAGATGCTATGCTTTCACACATGAACCACCTCTGACTGGTTTTGTTCAACTGTCTAAGTAAAGCTTTGGTCTCTCTTTCTTCCTGAGACCTGCGATGTCGGCCTGGTTACGCCATACATCAATGGGTTTTCTGTTGAAGCATTTTGGTGCCTGGAACAAAAAAGGTCAACCCTTTTATCATAAACTTGCTAGCACACAAGGCAGAATGCAACCTCAACCAAAAACATGGAAAAGCAGTATGAGGATTTCACCTGACAGTAATGTTACTCAAAGGGCCAGACGCTCTGAGTACTGAGAGGCTTGCCCTGATTTTCCATTGGGAGCCACAGTGAAACATTAGGAAGCACAAGTAAGAAATGGACAAGTAACATGTATGAATATAACTAAAACTTCCAAAAGTTCCCTCACTTCGTATTCCAAGTTGCATTGTACATGGACTTCCTTTCCTGGCGGGCTATATTTGACTCAAAGTAACACATGTTCCCAGGGGGGACTGGGACTAAAAATCAGCCCTGGAATCTGACCCAGTCCGGCCCCCATGAAATGTCAACGTATTAATTGAATTAATACTTAATAAATGTTGACAAGTAATACACTTTTGTTTGATCTATCATTTTTTTTAATATTAAATATTACACCTACTCTCATGTAACAATTGTTTTATTTATTTTATTGCTTGCATGAGCAACACACACCAACTGGAAAAACTAGATTGAATATACTTGTCTTCTCTATAGTAGTACCACCTCTTGCTCTTGCCCTGCACGTGTATGTGCCAGTTGAGCTGGTTCTTCCACCAGCTCAACTCTCTGTCCCTCATCATGAACGCAGGCTGGCTGTATATCTGAACTCAGACTCGCGCCCTCATCATTCTCGTCATCATCTTGCACTTCTAATGGCGCGTTTCCACTACAGCGCGGAGCACGGTTTAAGAGGGCTGTGACGTCAGCGGCCCGTTTTTGGTTGCGTTTCCACTTGGCCTAGTACCGGCCAGGCGGGTCCTAATTCACAGTTTTTCTGGCCTCATAAAATCGTGGGTCTAGGGCCAGAGACAACGAGGCTGAGTCGGGCTGAGTATGCTAAACTAGAGAGAGCATCGCTGGCAAGGGGGCTACAACTACAACAAGATGGACATATTTGGCCGTGATTTAATTGTAATACACGTTTCAAAATGATGCCGAAGTAACAACATACTGATACCGGTTAGTAAAAACCATGAATTAATGCTTTGACAAGTCTGCAGACAGACGGCAGGCGCAAAACCTTTTAAAATGCTTGTTTTCTAAATGGAGATTGGCTAAGCTAACGCAGTATATGCTCCGACCGTCCACACTCACAACAACGGCCTATACAGACATAAATAAAGCAGCGACTGTACTCACCATGACACAGGCAGTCTGTGGTTTGTACTTGTTTAACTTTTGTCTAGTTTCTGAACATATATGAGGAGCTGTGAGCTCTGAGTGCTAACAGCTAACGGCTGTGTTGTTTTTCTGGGGTTCTCATTGAAGATGACGTCACGGCTCCGCCTACACTGCGTTACTATAGACACTACCCCAGTTCCTAAACTGTAATGGAAATGCGCCATAAAGTGAGCCAGTCCTAACGAGGCCTAGCCATACCGAGCGAGGCCGTGTAGTGGAAACGCGCCATAAGCTGCCGATAGTGCTAGTAGCACTAGCAGCGCTGCCAAAAAGGTCTGTCAATTTGCGACATTTAGATGCTTCACCTGCTAGTGACTACACCTTTTTTTCTCTTGCCTTCTCGGCCCCACACTTTTATTTTCGTTTTCTTTGATTTTTATCCATGTTTTTTCATTTTCCCTGTCTGCCGTCTAATCCCTTCTCTTCGTATGATACACCAATGTATTCAGCTCTCTGACCGGTCTTTTTTCTTCTTCGTGTGTGATTATTTGACAGATAAGAACCACACAAATGCATTAGCGGCCGCTGTTGCCCTCTGTCGGCCGTCAGCGCAACTTAAATGATGACGTTAAACAATTTTTTTTTTTAAAGGGCCGGGCCGGCCGTCAACGGCCTTTGACGACCGGCCGTTCTGTGGTTCTCCAGATTTTCCAGATTCTCCAGATGGCCAGTCCGCCCCTGCATGTTCCCCTTTAAGTGCCTGGGTTAGTGTGTCGTACCGTATTTTCATCATCTTTAGCCTCTTCCTCCTCTGGCTCAGTTGTAACGGAGGGCGTCTTGGGCTTGTACCAGGATATCTGCAGCACACGACCTTTGAACTTAGCTCCCTGGTTAGCTGCCTGGAAAACAATACGGGAACAAAGTGGCCAAGTTTGACTAAAAGCTTTACTGTTTTTGTACCACTCAAAAAACTAAAAAACTTGAAAGAAGCAAAGACAGACGAGCAGTAATGGGACTTACATTCTCTGCTTCACTTCGGGACTTAAAGGTCATGACAACAGTGTTGGCGTCTTGATCTCGGACCTCTTCAATCTCACCAAATTTCTAAGTAAAAAAATAAAAAACAGTATTCATTTCAGTTGAATTCTTCAATCATCAAATCAGAAACTAAACAAAAATAAATGATATAAACAAAGTGTGTGAGTAGCTCAGTCCTCACCACAAAGTGCGGCATTAGCTCCTCCTTCTCCTCCTGAGTGACCCCCAAAATAGCCAGGGCTCTGGGTCTGTGGTCCACCGACATGCGGTTCACAGTCCCCCCCCCGCCCCATCATGTCCCGGCTCCGCCCCCTGCCCCGGCCCACGTGTCCCGCACCGGGCTCCATCGCCATCTTCCCTCGGCCCCGCCCTCGGCCCGTTGGAGGCCGAATCAGACCCAGCCTGGTGGCCTGAAACAGGACAGAGGGGGGGGTTTAATGTTATGAAACGACTGACTGCTTTTGCTTTTCTTTCAACCAACGTGGACAAGATTAAAAGAGTGAAAGCTGGCTGTGTTAAAATAATCATTAGGAACAGATGTGGAAAACCTGCGCCTTGAAGCGGCTTTTCAAAGTGAAAACAAACATGTCAAGAAACGACAGTGTGTTTAAAATAAATAATTTAATTTGGCATCCCTATTTAGTCTTCACACAATTTCCTTTTTCTTAGAGCTTATATATTCTCCAACTCCCCTTCGGTCACTCTGCACCCTTTACCATTAGTTGTCACTCCTCCATATTTAAAGCAGCATCTACTCGCTTCCTAACCACTCCACACTCTCACAACCACTCTCTCATCCATTTGTCCCTCGCTCACTTCTCCCACTAATTGTCATCCCGCCATTTTCTAACAAGGCCCGGCGGCTCAAACTTTAATGAGACGGGCTCCGTCAGCGGAGGACGGGTGTGATTTGGCTTCGTTAGCGGCCGCTCCTCTGGGCTTGCTTAAGTGGCTGCAGTTTAAAGTGCAGGAGGAGGGCTGGGTTTGGATGGATATGCATTTTTAATATCAAGCTAATTTAGGACCCACAGGGGAAGGAAGGGGGGGTGGGGAAACATGCTACGCAGGGTGTTGCTAACAAAAGCCATGTTCTTGTTGGGCTGATCTTGTGACACAGGCGACCTCGTCTGCACGCTGCTGGTTTAAATGAGAGAGGAAATGTGGGCCAAGTCTAAACTCAATAATAGCCTTGGAATCATATTGGAGCTATTTCTAATCTCATATATAAATATTTTCATGATGTATGACATGTTAGAAAAGTATATCAACTCATTTGCTTCAGTCAAGGTGTTTTCATAGGATTTGAATGTCATCCATTGGCATTCAAATTAGCATCAGTGCTAACAACAGGAGAACACATTTTCTTCAGCTAAATGTTTTTTTGTTTTGTTTCTGGCTTTTCCTAGATCTGAGTGAGGAACAATTCCCGCTACTAGCTTTTTTATAAAATAAACTTGTGAATTTAAATACACAACTGAAAACCTTTCAGAATATTGTTTTATTTATTCCTTTCTGGGAATCAAATGTTGCTTTATAGATGTTTTTGGTAACAATTCAGCCAGTGTGCAAACACTACTAGTATCCTCTCTTTTCACCCATCACCTGTGAATCCATGCTAGTTAGTCTTTTCCTTCTTATATCTTATTTAATCTGGCCCGATAACATCTTCTAAAGCATTTCTTTGTATGACATGCTCAAATTTCAGCACTCAAGAAAAGCGCTGCTAATGTAAGGTGATGACTGTCTATGTTTTTGTGTGTGTCTTTATAGGCCTTTGTGAAGCAGTGTTATGTACTGTGTGTGTTTGTGTGTCATTACCTCGACCTGTAGCTGTCCTAGTTTCCTCTTGAGGTCTGTTGTGTCCTCTCCAGAGCTCATCTTCTTGTGAAAGTCCAACTCAGCATCCAGCAACTCCTTCTGGGCCTGTACAAAGAGAAAACCTTGTTTACCAAACACTTAAGAGCAAAGAAAATGTACAGTTTCTAAAGTGGCTAGTCAAAACTCCACTTGGCTGTGTGTGTATAAAAAGGAGATGAAGCACTCCACCATGCTCCCGACCAAAGTGACTTCGACTCACATCAGTCTTGGTCTTGGACTGGGCGTGGTTTGGTTTGGCGCTGGATACCTGGGAGGCGGGGTTCATTTCATTCTGCAACTGCGCGATCTTCTCCGTCAGCTCCTTTAGGGTCTTCATGATGTTGGCTCGCTCCTCGGGTCTCATCCCTCGGTTCTTATCCAGGCGGTTTATCAAGGCCTGGAGGAAGAAGATAACCAGTGAGAGACGAAGGTGTAAAAGAATGGACGGGAATAGAAGTGAAGGGACAGTTGAAAGAAGTAATATTGAGCCCCTCTTACCTTCTGACACTCCATCTGTGTCTTCAACATCTCTTGCTTCTTCTTTCTCATGTCCTGCTGGAGTTTAAATGCCTCCTAAAAGGAAAATAAATTGAATACAAATTAATTCCCTGGTGTTGAAACACATTTTTTCATGCTGGTGTACATTCTCAAAAGTGAAGCCACATGCCTGTTTCTTCTTGTGGACTTCCTGTGCTTCTAGTGCTTTTCCTGTTCTCCCATAGCTCTTTGAGGTGGACTTGAGGGTTGTTGAATTGTAAGGGCTCTTCTGGGTGTTTGTCAGTGCAGGTATCACCTAAGCACCACACAGACAGAGAGAGAGAGAGAGAGAGAGAGAGAGAGAGAAACACTGATCAGTTCATCAGAATTACTTTTATAAATCTGCAATTCACAGGAGCAAGAATGCATTGATATATAACATCAAATTATTATTTATAATGCTATTTTTGCTTATATTCTTATATCCCTGAGGCTGTAAGAATGGCTGGTCTGCATCACTGGACGGGAATATTCTCTAGTTTCATGGCGGTAATAGAGTTCCCATTTTTGCAATAGCACACAACGCAGTGTTTTTACTGTTCAACCGACATGTTCAACCTTGAGATATTTTTTAGCCTGTGACAGAAAATCAAGAGTCTGGACCCACTGATTTCAGGTCAGTATTTTATACCGAGCAAGCAAATACACTTATCTAATGCTGCGTTCACACCGGACGCGATGCGATGTTTGGGGGCGGCGCGATTACATGTAAAGTCAATGCAGAGACGCGGACAGACGCGAATTCGCTCCGACGGCGCGCATGAAGCGGTGGATGCGGCGCGAATCACGCGATTGAACGGTGCCGCGTTAAACGCGAGAGTTCAATTTTTTCAACTCGAGCGTCAAATTCACGTGACGCGTTCTCGCGGAAGCCAATCAGCGGTGAGGATCTCAGCCGCCGTCACTGACGTTCAACCACACAACATCAGCCGTTAGCAGTTAGCACACAGCTCCTCATATATGTTCAGAAACTGGACAAAAGTTAAACAAGTACAAACCACAGACTGTCTGTGTCATGGCGAATACAGTCGCTGGTTTATTTATGTCTGTAGGCCCGTTGTTATGAGTGTGGAATGAGCATATACAACGTTAGCTTAGCCTGGTCGACCCGATCTTCATTCAGAAAACAAGCATTTTAAAAGGTGTTTTGCCTGCCGTCTTGTCTGCAGACTTGTCAAAGCATTAATTCATGGTTGTTACTAACCGGTATCAGTATGTTGTTACTTCGGCATCATTTAGAAACGTGTATTACAATTTAATCACGGTAAAATATGTTCATTTGTTGTAGTTGTAGCTCCCGAGCCAGCGCTTCTTGTTTGAATGATGCGAGTAAACACAGCTGGCAGCCGCGGTGAAACTCCAGCGTTTAGAGCGATGCGATAGGAGCGATTAGAGCGAAGCGAATAGTCGCATCGCGTCCGGTGTGAACGCAACATAAGATAGTTAACGTAGTTTAAAGTACCCGCTTGAACATGTGCATGTTAGCTTGCTGGCATTAGCATTAAGATGAAAAGTACAGCCGCCCACAGCTGTGTTATTTGTTTAACTTAAGCGGCCCCTAACAGACACACATGGTGCCTGACATTATGTATTCTGCTGAAGACATTAAGAAGTGTGGTATTCCAAAATCATTTGAAATTGGAAAATGAACCAGGTCATAGGGCATAACTTCAAGACATGAACGTACGGTGACAGCATCTGTGTTTGGGTTCAGGCTGTCTGCTTTGGTTGGAGCTGGGACCTCCGGCAGGGCTGGCACGCGGTGCTTGGGCACGGTCTTGTTCAACACATACGCAGCTGGATTGTGCTGATGGATCACCTGCATCTAAAAGAAAAGGGAGAAAAGGTATATCTCATGAGAGGTTGCGGTAGCAGGGCAAGAGATAATCAGCATGAAAAGATTAAAAACGTCTTTCTGAGCAAATTTCACCTCAGCGAAAGACTCACCTCTTTGCACTAGCTTTTAATACTAGTTGAATGTAACATTTTGACATTTGAAAGTGTTTTTATACATTTCTACTTATTGTTTTATTATTTTACTCCTATTGTGTTATTTTTGTATTGTGTTTGTTCCCAGTACAGCACTTTGGTCAACGGAGGTGGTTTTAAATGTGCTATATAAATAAATAAAGATTGAGATTAAGCTCTTGATGCCAACCTTATGCATGTTGCTGTGCTGCAGCCCATGGATGGGTGCGGACCCCACCGCCTGGCCCCCACAGCTCTGCTCCTGCTGCTGCAGCAGCCCTGTGGGGTTGGTGCCGGGCTCGCGGTGCCAGTACACACGGATGAAGCGGTTTTGGAGGACCGCCTCGGTGCTGGAGATGGCTCGCCTGGCTTCTTCATTCTTTGTGTACTGGATCAACGCCGCCTCTGGGTCGCCACCAAACACAACCTGGATTGAGAGTAGAGCAAGCAGATTAGGAATGTGTTTAGGATGAAGCTTGTAAACAATGTAGCCCTGAACTTTAGCCCTTAGTCAGTTTGCTTGTTTCAAAGCAGCATTTTTACCTGGATGTTGACGATGGTTCCGAACTTGCTGAAGTGTTCGTTGAGCTGGGTGATGTTGTTGAGCTCACGTGGGATCTTGCGCACTTCCAACTTGGTGTTCACATAGTGATACCTCTTGGGAAAAGTGTTCTTGTGTTGGTTGTTAAAGCTTGGCCTAAAACGAGAAGAACACTGTGATTACATCTGAAGTTTAACACGGTCATGATTTTAAAGGAGGAATAAAAGAAAAAAAACAGACAAGCCAGTTCAACATTTTGATGATAGGCAGTGAAAGGGAGCAAAGATAGTGGACCTAAGGTTTGAGTTTCAGCCATTATGTTGAAAATCATACAAACCATACTTTAAAAAAAAAGGAACACATGAACCTGGTTGACACTCGAGATGAATTTCAAGTGGAGCCGTTGCAGGCCTTTGTGTGATACTGCCTCCAACACCTAACTCAAGAGATAGGCTACTGGTCTATGAGTCACCTTGGTTTGAAACAAGGCTCTTATTGCAGTAGCAGGAAATGGGGGTAAGGCACAGAATTGTTTGATCAAATTTCACCTGGTCCACTTTTGTTCTTTACATTTATGAGCAAAACCAGATCCTGTTCAGTGAGTGTGTCTATGATCAGGTCCCCCCTTCCTTTCTTGGTATGTGAGGAAACCATTACTTATTTTGTGTTGGTTTCACCCTGATGCAGTACAGTTTACATGGGTTCCAGGCATCTCCCTTTCAAATCTTCCTATCTTATGCCAGGGGAAACTTTTTTAATGTTTCTGTTCTTACTTATCAACCCAAGATTGCTTAGGCGCTGGTCCCTCTGCTATGCTGGGCCCCATGCTCCTCTTCCGGTTGTCCTGCTCTGCGTTGAAACGGGACACGTTGCTTCCAGGAGTGCTGGCTGCAGTGGCAGGCTCTGTCTGGATCACTATGTTGGCAGCTGGAAGACAATCACACAGACACATCACTGAGAAACAATCATAAACACGAGCTGTCCGTCATTGTGCACAACCTTTCCGTTTGGTTTGGGGAAGAGTGTGAGTACTAAGAAGGCTAACACTTGTTACCTCTGGAGCCTTGCCCTTCGTTGGAGGTGAGACCAATGAGGTTGGAGCGCTGCGTGTGCACCCGGGGAATGAACTGACTGTACGGGTTACGACCGGCGGCAGTCAGGGCAGGGGATTCTGGGTTATAGCCCTCTGGGTCATAGTTATCTAATGTGTAAAAAATGAAAACACACATTTAAGTTTAGAGGGAATACAAAACACTCTGAACAGCCTTAAAGTGTGAGAAATAAACCGCACAATGAGCTTATGCAGTCCTGTATACATAAGTACGTACTACCTGACATTTAGTGACTTATCTCGCACACAACAATCGTGTAAAAAATGTCATTTTAAACATGTCAGTGACAGCAACCTGCGACTGTACACAAATACATCTCTGAGTACATTATAAGATACATATATGGTATCAAGAAGAAAAAGGAACTAATTAAAAGATAAAAATTGTAAAATAAAAGTACGGCAATACTGCTAGATAAATATATATTATAGGATGATGAAACGGCATAAGAGAATAACTCTTATCTGCAGCAAAAAGGCACCTCACATGACAGTTACGATTTTGACTATCCGAGTCTTTATTTAAATTTAAAAACCTGAGTTTGTAAGTATCTAAAAATAGACCCACTCCATTTTGAACTCAGGCTTAGCTTTCTATTTAACCTGATTTATTTATGAGTTGAATTATGGGAAAAGCACTCAACATAAAAAATGAGGCATGTTAATTGCTCATAGCTAATTTGTCTTTGGTTAATAAACAGTGCCACCCTCTGGCCAACAGCTGTTACTGCAGCCTGAAGGAACACACATGCTTCACATTCTGCATTCACATAGTCATAACCCAATTTATAATGAAAGGAAACAGAGTACTAGCTTAGTCTTTAACTTTATAAATTGTATTGTACTGTAATTAAACATGAAACAGGAAAGCAGGAAAAAAAAGAACGTCATTTCCAAATCTGAATAGGAAAAGCATCGCTGCTTACATTCAGACTGGACATATTGGGGACGAAGAGACACAGATGAAGACGAGGAGGGAGGAGGTGGAGGAGGAGGAGGAGGAGGAGGAAGAGTAGGCGGCAGCCCCACACCGGGCGGTCCGATGGGAGGGGAAGCAGTGATTGCCGTTGGGTGGTTGGGGGTTTCAATCCCACTAGTTGCTATCAGTGGGGGTCCTGAGGGAGACACAAGCCCAAGCTGTTGTCTCAGGTTTATGAGGACAGTGAGTCTTTGGTTTGTGCGACTAAAACTTTTTTCATGCCCCACCAGTTGCTTTAAAAAGACACTATGATGTTGGCAGAAACTGATAACATCTGTCAAATGTAATGCTTCAACAATGTGATAAAATATATTTTTGGATCTGATTTATAGCAAAAAATAATAGCAAATTAGATCCAAACTTTAAACTAATAACTAATTTTCAAGAACCATTATAATTAAGGCAACGGCTGGAATGGGCCCAATAGACAGAATGGTGTGTAAGAGCAGCCTTATGAAAGCTTTTTCCTAGGGCTGCTTCTACATCCAAGAAAGAAGTCAAATTTGGTCACAAAAACCACCAAGTTTGGTTTTGTGATGTCAGATGTTACCTGATTCAGCTATACACAGTCATGTATACAATGCAGTACGTAAAGTAAAGAGATAAGAGATTACCAATCAGTCCAAGTTAGCAGATTACCAGCAAAGGAGGAAAATGTGTCTTGCGGCGCCTTATGGAATAACTAGCTGCAGTGGTTTGTACTAACCAAAAGTCACCAGTTGCTGTCACAATACTTTTCGTGTTTTATTGTGGTTGCCATTTCTGCTCGCTGTGGCGGTGCTACTTACCGGTCATGGGGAAGACCCCCGGTGGTGGCGGCTGGCCGTAAAGTGGCATCGCAGGCATCCTGAGGGGAGGGGGTGGCTCGGTCATCGGAGGCATGGGCAGGCCACCGGGGGGGGGCATAACAGGCGGGGGAGGGAACGGAATAATGTTCGGTAGATTCACATCATCAACGATGAGAGGGTCGTTGCCGTGGTCGAATAAACAAAGGTCACCACGGACACAAAATCCCTTTTCTGTGACAGAGGGGGAGACAAAGATCAAATGTTAACCTTTTCATATTAAATAGTTATGTATTTCTGAAGTTTAGGAAAGCATAAACAACTATCATCTAGGCAAAACCTAAAATATCCTTATTACTTTCTCCTTAGATGCCATTAAATACCTATTTGTACCCTTATCTATCCAACAGGGTTAGGGCCCTGAAAGTCCAATTAATTCACAAATAAATGACTGGAATGAAAGAAGCAATAGGACTAAATAAACAAGATGAAAGCTTCTCCAAGTTAAAAGCAGCTAGGACATGATCACAGTGCATGTATTTACCCCACAGTCTCATTAAGAAACTGGGTCCCTAATGGCTGTGTTTAAGCAATGTGACAGATAGCAGTGAGCTTCAGGGACAGTGGGTAAGTTTAAACCCTATGCATGTCTCTGGGGAGGGGGGGTGGGTCTGCTGCCTTTCACTGGGGAGAAGAGAGAGGAGTGCTAAACAGTGGTCATTAGTGATGAGACTAAACAAGGCAATCAATAACCCTCATGGGAAGATAATGGTAGAGTTTACACAGGAAACTTCACAATGACCTCGCCATTTTCTGGAAAACAATTGTAAAAATCAATAGGCTCTTCCATGAAGAAGTTTCAGCAAAATAAAAACAATAAAAAACATTGATAGAAAGAAGAAATTAAAAGACAAGGAGAAAAAATGATAATGTTCCTACCGTCGTAATCCCTGCAGCGCTGTTTGAGCGAAACATTCTTGTTGCCGAATGGCTTGCCGACACCATCTTGCCTCTGGGCGCTGTAGTAGCCCGACCAGCTGTCTGTGGTGCTATCGGGCAGGTGGGCCGCTGTAACCACGGAAACACCGCCAGCTCCCGGGACTCCTGCGGACGACGTTGAGGAAAAGGGGTGCTGGGGTGTGGGCAGGGGCAGCGGCAGCAGAGGAGACTGGTGCTGCTGCTGGGAGACGGACGTGTTTGAAGAGTTGTAGCAGTCTGTATCCTTCCTTTCCAACTCAAACTTGGACTTGTAGTCTGGCAAAGACAAGCAGAAAGAGGTATTTAAACACAACATATATAAAGTATTACAGTAGAGCAGTGGACAAAACCCTGTAAACTTAAAAACAGCTACTTCTCCCACTATTTAAAACACAGATGTAAATTACCGTAACCCTGCAGGTGATAAGGCCAATTCCAGGCCATGTTGTTGAATACCCACTGATGTGACTGCAAAGCTGTCCACATAATTTCTTATTGATAAAAACTCCCAGCAACACTGACCAACAGAAAACAATACAAATAGCTAGATCCAGTCTCCAGCAGCACTTCTGCATCAGTGAGGACAGTTCGACTGTGCCGACAGAAGCTTCAGGAGCTTCTGCACTCCTGGGTCTGGTCCCTTGTGCTGTTGTTATTGGTTGTTGTGGAAGTTCTCACCTCTGCCTCCTCTGTGCTCTCTGTCTCTGCTCTTTCCTCGGCTGCCACTCCTGCTCCTGCTCCGGCTCCTGCTCCGGCTGTAGCTCCTCCCCCGGGGGCTGCCCCTGCGCCGCTCGTGACGCTCCCGCTCGCGGTGTGAGTCGCTGAGACTTTTCCCGTGCCGATCGAAGTCTCGCCGCTTTCGCTCATCTCGCCTTCTGTCGTCGCGGGCCCTGTGTGGTTGATAAGTTAGAGGAAAAATTAAATATTCATCTTAAACCAGCTAAGGCAAATGTAGGTCTGAAAAACTAGATACAAATATTTTTGAATTGGTTCTAGTGGCCTTTATTTGACAGTACTGAAGAGAGAACCGGGCTTTTTTTTTTTTTTAGACAAGTTGTTTTAAGAACGTTTTTCAAATCTACAGGAAGTGTGAAGTACAATTAACTTCACACAGCGATAGTACAGGAATAGGAATCGTAAGTGATAATTTAAAACATTTCTGTCATAAAAACACTGATTAAATGCTTTAGAATACAAATCATGCATTATCAAAGCTCATTAAACACTTAATCTGTTGTTCTGAATGTATGACAGGTTCTTTTGACTAGCTGTGTTACACACAAGGGACAGGCTACTGGACACCAGGGCCTCATCAAGCTAAAAGCAGGACTCATGGGATATGAAACTAGCTGTCACCCTGCAACCATAAGTTCCCTACACAACTACACAGTGGTATTGGTAGTGTCAGCATGAGACTAGGACTGCATGTGTCACATGTCAGAACAGTATCTGGAGAACTTTATGCTTTTTCATTCAGCTGACATGAAACACACCCCTGAAGCCACAGCCATACCTGGACTCGTTGTTTCTCAGAGGACTTCTCCTCCGCCTGTTTTCTCGGTCCTCCTCCGGAGTTTCAGCCTTTTGGGAAACAACACAGTTCGTTTTTTTAAATCTACATTTTATGTTTTAAAACCCAGAATATAGTTCAGAGTCTGGTGAGAATGGATCCAAAGCCCCATTTAGAAACATCGTAAACTATATTTTGTTTTTGTCTGGTTATCATCTACAAAAGCATTTTTTTTATAAACTCACAAACTTTTCTTACCTCCACAACATCAGTTTTGACTGCAGGTGGTTTGACCTCTTCTTTAGGAACTTCCTTGGCAACAGGGTTTCCCAGGTAGTTCTTTGTTGTCAGACATTCAAAAAGTTTATCGACAAATCCTGTTGTCTCTGCAAAGACAAGATGAATCATGGCATTAGATGTCTAGTGAATACTAAATAAATAACAGCACAGAAATCGAACAGAGATTAAATCATTTCAAACATTCAAGAAATAAAGCACCACGCAAGCTAAACAACGATGTTTCATGTAATAAAGGTTATTTCCAGAGTCATCCGAGGGGGAATAAAATACATTCAAATGACGTAAGACAACCTCTTATTGCTATATTGGGGATCAAGTAGTGGATGAGGAAAATGTACATGTGACTGCAGAATAACTTAAATGAAATAAAGTTAGCTTGTTAGCTGAATTATGTAAATCTCTGCTGGACAACTATCCTGACCCACCTGAGCTAGAAACAATAGAAAAACAGTTTGTTGCGTTCACTCATATCAGCAGTACTTTTGTTTTGCACTCCTACCTTTTTGTAGGAAGACATCAAGCTGATCAGCACAAAGTGCTTTCAGCTCTTTCTCCGGTTTGTCCTTCTTCACAAGAGCCACCACATAGTTGGCTAACGCAGAGGGGTCAGCATCACATCTGTAGATTAAAATAGATACATGTTTAATGTCAGCTATCAGCTACCTTGCTTTACCAATACAAAAGAAAAGAAACATACCAAAAAGGTTAAAAGGTTATAAAGGCTAAACTACTAAATAAATGAAACGGGGAAGACAAGTAGAAGACAAAACCGAGACAGTGAACTAAATATGGTTTATAATTAAACCAACTGCAACAAATTGCATATCATTGGCAACATAAGCCTAATAATAGTAGGTACCAAGTGAGACTTTAAAAATACCTGCAGAGCAAAACATTGCTACAAAAACTTTAGAAAATACCAACCAAATGACCCACCATATAATCTAAATGGTATATATTTTACAAAATCTTTAAATGCTAAAAACCATGCTTAAAATGCTAGTCCAGTTTCTGAATTAATATCACAAAGTCCTGTGAAAGCACTCGCAACTCAAATCTAATGTATAACTAAAAGACATAACTAGATGGGTTATGTATTAGTACACAAATAACATCTTAAAACTACCATCACTTCCATTTGACCTCAGAGAACCATAAAGGGTCATAATGTGAATAATGTGTCTACAAATAAGCTAATGTCAGTGAGAATGACTTGTGTTAAGTTGATACAGTGTTTTAAGAGCATTCCTTAATATATGAGTGAGGAGGTGACTCATACTGCTTCACCTAACCAATGCATGTGTGCATAACACCATCGAATCCTCCTATTTTACACATGTAAATCATTACATTTATGTATGTGCCTTCTTTTATAACAACTATGTCCTGTTATTATTCCAATGTAGTTTAAACATTTACATTTGAAAGAGGCAGACAGAGTAACTATGGAAACTCAAGAGAGCAAACAATTCTTTATCTTTAAAACATATATATAACTTATAACGCTGGATATATTTAAACAGATTCAACACATGGTTTAATAATAATTAACATTAGCAACCTTAGCAGCATACAAGTTCATATCTGTTGCAGCTTACTAACTTGCTACATAGCTGTGAGTAAGTTACATTTTTGTGGGCTAACATCGTGCCTTATTAATCAAAAATAAAAGTGCAACAAACGCTGTACATTCATACATGATTTCCTAAGCGTTGAATAAGCCTTATACTCTCAATTTGCTGTGAAAAGCCAGCTAGCGACAACGGGGGTTTGCTAACTCGTGCAAGAAATTGCCATCATATTCTAGCAAAGCGTCCCATTGATGCCAGGCTAAACCAGCTGCTAGCTAGCTAACGTAGCTATGTAGCATGCGAGCTAAATGTCATTTCAATTCAACACTCACATTGGCTCCAGGAGTTTTGCCAGCCACGACTTCAATGCTTCCACATTCTCTATGATCATCGTGAGAAAGACTATAATACTGTCTATAAAATGAAAGTGCGTTTCAATAACCCTGCTTTCATCGTCTATAAATTTAAAAGCTTTAAGGCCTTCTTCTGTCTCTCTTCACTGGCAGGTCGGGGAAAAGTGTTTTACGGCATGGCAACACAAGAGGAGTTGTCGTAACGCAGGCCGGATGACGGACGGGTATAATAATTTCGTGTCAAAATTAAACTGCTATAGGTAAATAGGTAGCAGTGGCCCTACCGTATGTGTATACAAATATACAAAATGAATCGAATAATTTATACATGAAAATATATGCATAGTTCACTAGATATCTAACGACACGACTACTGAAACTTCTTCGAACTTCATTTCCCAGAAAACCATGCGAGAAGCCTGTGTGTCATCAGCCAGGCACCGGTGGCGTGGGTTTCCCTTGTCAAACTACACACTCTCTTATTTCTTCTGTCTAAACAATATAGTTATCAGTTGCTCTCAATTTGGTTCAAAATGACGGTATGTTTAATGTTCAATTCATTTCAATATTAGGAATGTTTCCTGTGGTTTATAGGCAATGGTTACGCTTTGTCTCAATAACTTACTGTAGCTGTTAGCTAAGTTAGCTAACATAAGCTAGTTGACGAGCCAACTGCAGAAATAGACTTGAGAGAAATCTGACACAGCTGGACCAGAGATAACAGCTGTTTTCTTGTTAAACACTCCTCGAACAGACTTTCTATTATTATTATTATTATTTTTAATTATTATCTATTATGTTATATTATCAGGGGTAAGTAATAGTTTTACTGCTCTGCCTTTTCTCTAATGAACTATCAATTTTGTTCGTTTCCAGGAGCGAAAAGGAAGAGCAAAGTTGGACTTCTTGAGAAAGATTGAGATAGAGATCCAGGAGAAATGGGAGAGGGAGAAGGCATTTGAGAATGATGCACCGACAACAATTGGGGAAAGCACAAAGTGAGTATCTGCTGTTATGAGGAGGTACCATATGATTAATTCCCTACTCTACTTCACATACTTTACCCAGGAATAGCTCAATATGCAGTTGTTAGACTCTGTTAATAAAGCAATTCACATAGATTACCATACCCAGGAATGTCAGAGCAGTTTTTGCTGGTTACTTCCTTCAACTGATCTCTTCCTGATACAATATGAACACCTATTGTTCTTAAATGTGTTTGGAAGTAGTCTGTTGTTGCTGTTGGAAAAACAAGCCAGGCAAGTATTGATGAAGCTCTTCTGCGGAACAGTTAACGTATCAAGGATGAGCCTTCATTGCTCCGCTTTATTCCCCAGTTCATGGCAATTTGTACATAACACCCTTTTTTTTCCATTTATTACAGCAAAACCAAGTACTTTGTCACCTTCCCCTACCCCTACATGAATGGCAGATTGCACCTTGGACACACGTTCAGCTTGTCAAAGTGTGAGGTAAGTTTGTATACAATGACAGACGAAGATAAACACTAAGAAATGTACTTCTTGAGTTGGCATGCATGAAAGATACTTGATATGCATACAGTATGTTCAACTTATGATCACTAGTCTCTCGCTCATTGATGCTCTACTTTTTTTCTCATAGTTTGCTGTTGGATACCAGTCCATGAAAGGGAAGAAATGCCTCTTCCCATTCGGGCTGCACTGCACAGGAATGCCAATCAAAGTTAGTGGCTTTTTTCCTGTCTAATAAATAAGTCCTGTGTGTGTGTGGCATTGACCTGCAGTTATGGAATGTTTTCATTTTTAGCATTGCCTACCATATACTGTACATCCCACCTTTCATTCAACAAACACAAAATGTAAGTTGTTTCCAAATACACTCTTCTGTCTGTACTTCCCTTCATAATTGTAGAAAACTAAATGACATGGTCTTCAGTACTAGTACCAGTTCGGCTTTTTAGGTTTTTCCACTTTATTAATTTATCAATTCATCCCTGCCTTTAATCCCCTCGCACAGACACTAATGTTTCCTTTCTCCCGGTATTCACACATCTATATTGTATCCACCAGGCCTGTGCAGACAAGCTGAAGAGAGAGATGGAGGTGTATGGAAACCCTCCACAGTTTCCAGACGAGGAGGAAGAGGAGATGGTGAAGCCAGAGGTGTCCGATGAATTCATCATCAAGGACAAATCAAAGGGCAAGAAGGTCGGGATCGGATGCAGATTGATGACAGTTTTCACATATGAAGGAACAAATACAGTGTTTAGTAAATGACAACCATAACTCTTTTTCATTATTATAATGTTTTATTCCTCTTTTAGAGTAAAGCAGTGGCCAAAACCGGAACTGCCACTTTCCAATGGGACATCATGAGGTCTTTGGGCCTGAGTGACCAGGAGATAATCAAGTTTGCCCACGCCGAACACTGGCTGGAGTACTTCCCTCCTTTGGCTATCAAAGATCTCAAACAGATGGGAGTCAAGGTGACTAATTGTAATAACGTAACTCTAGCTAACAACTGTGTAATGCAATAAAATGAGACAAGCACATCTGCTTTCATTTGACTTTTTTTTACTGTAAAGCCTTCTTGCAATGTCATTTGGTTAAATAATCTGTTTATATGTGTTAAGAGGTAAACACTGGAGTGACATGTCTATAGTCTGATTTTTGTTTGAGAATTCACCAAAAGATATATATGCCATGGGGATGATTTAAATAAGGTTATTTATTCTAGTCAACTGTGCTTAAATCTCTGTTTCATGTTATCACTTCACAGGTGGACTGGAGGCGTTCATTCATCACCACCGATGTGAACCCCTTTTACGACTCCTTCGTCAGGTGGCAGTTCACCACACTCAAGGAGAGAAAAAAGATCAAATTTGGCAAAAGGTGAGATTGTTAATAGTGTTGTTCCTCAAACTTTTTCAGACCAAGGACCATTCACCACATAGAGAAAACTCAATGACCATATAACAACCCAAAAACGTCCATAATCAATAAGCCTCCCGATTTAATATTACATCACACTTTTCAGACAAATTAAATTATAGTTTTGCATTGCACTGAATCCTATTTACAGTATGCTTCATTCATAACATTGACATCAACATTATTCTTATTAATAACTTAGGCTGAGTGTCCATATAATTTTATTTCTGATCACCAGCATTTTTTTGAAGAGTTCCTCCTTTTTGTGCAGCTCTTACAAGCAGTCTTTTTTGAAAACCTCTGAACAGCTCTGCGTCTCTGTCTCCCTATTCTGCTCCAATGCATGTTTATTGTCTTTACAATTTGGATATTTTTTGAAAGAAAATATTTTACCAAATCTACTCACAGACTACTCCCTGAGAAAGTCTGGTTCAGTGTTGTGTCTGTAACTGTTTTACTTGTGTGTAGCACTTTCCTTTCAGTAATATAAAGACAAGTAAGGAAGTGCCATTATGTAAAATGATAATGTCTCACACTTTATATTTTTTGCTATCTAGATAAGTTGGACTCTCTTGCCTGAAACAATGTCATATATACCAAAGTCATATCTTTCCATGGGGTAGAAGCATATTGAATATTTAAAGTGAAGACATCAGGCAGTCTCGTTGTTTTTGGCATTCTGTGTTTTTATTGTTGTTGTAATATATAATGTGACTTTGCTCGACTCCTCTGCAGGTATACCGTTTACTCCCCGAAGGATGGACAGCCCTGCATGGACCATGACAGGCAGACCGGAGAGGTAAACCTTCCTGGATATGTGGAATAATGTATTGGTTGTGACAAACAATAACACAGGAAACATTACAAAGAAATGGTTTCTCAAAAAGCAATACATTTTGAAATGATTCTTCTTTTGATGCCAAGTCACATACCTCACATCAAAAACATAGAGTGTTGGTTTGATTTGCCTTTTTTTTTTTTACAATTGAGCAGTTTCATAGTGATGTAAAACAAATTCCACGTAGTCTATTTAATAAAAAAAAAATCTGTTTTATAATGTAAGCACCAAAGGTAAAAACAAACAAATACTTTAAAAGGGTCTCTTGATTTGAACTGACATTATCTGAGAGCTGTCATTTGTTTACCCCCCCCCAAGTAACATTTGTCTTTGCCTGCAGGGAGTTGGACCTCAAGAGTACACTCTCATCAAGATGAAAATAGTAGAACCGTACACGGCAAAGTTCAAGGCCAAAGTCTTCTATAGCAGGTAAAGAAATACATACACTGAACACACTATAATGCCAACATTTTGTAAAGGATGGTCACTACACCACTGACAGTTTGTGCATATATACTTAAGTGTATTTCTCATCTTGATAAACACTGTACTACTAACTTTTAAATTGAGACACAAATAAAGTGCTAAAGCCGTCTTTCTCACAGCGCCATGAAAGGGAAAAACATCTTTCTGGTGGCCGCCACTCTGAGACCAGAGACCATGTTCGGTCAGACCAACTGCTGGGTGAGGCCCGACATGAAGTACATCGCCTTCGAGACAACCAACGGAGACATCTTCATCGGCACCAGTAGATCTGCCAGGAACATGTCCTACCAGGGCTTCACCAAAGAGAATGGAGTGGTGCCAGTGGCCATGGAAATCCTGGGACAGGTATGAACGTTGTCTCTGTTTTTCTTCAGCTAAAGATACAGTAAGTTCTATTTCATATCAGGGATTGAACCCATCAAGTCTTAGAGGTAAATTAGAAGTGTAAAGACAGTTTGATTCTCAAGGTTTCATAGCTATGGTGCAATCAACTTGATTACTTCTGCTCTGCTTTTTTCCTATTACCCACAAGTCAGTCTATCCTAACAGGATCAGGTAGGGTGCCTATGTGATTAAAGAGTAGATAAAATCAGGTTCTGCATCGTTTTGTTTCTTTCTAGGATGTCCTTGGCTGTGCCCTGAGCGCTCCTCTGACCTCCTATAAGATCATCTACGCTCTGCCCATGCTCACCATCAAGGAGGACAAAGGTATGAGTCAAACACTTTGAAAAAGTCGCAGTGCAGAGATTTGTCACATTGGTTTAAGCGTCATCGTTTTCAATAGGTGATTTCTGTGGATGTCTTTTTATCCGTGTGTTTCAAATAAAGATCAATGATCTGGCCCTTATGCTTAAGGTATTACTTCCTGCAGAGAATCTGCACTGAGCTTTATCCCATTTTCCTCCTTCCTCTTGTGGAAGTTTGTGCA